CGCTCGCCGCGGCCGAGCCTCCCGGTCCTCCTCTGCAGGCCAAAGGAGATCTGCTCGCTCCGCTCTCTGGGGGTCCAGGCCTCCCTCTCCTTCCTCTTCGTTGCCTGCCTCGCCAGCGCCTGGGGACGATAGCGTCCTTGCGAAGCACTCTCAGGCCGACAGTCAGAACCTGCAGCAGCTCTCCCTGCAGCCGCCGCTGGAAAAGCAATTGTCAGAGCCAGGAGCCCGGCCTCCCTGGCCCGGGCCCCGGCCTCTGGGCACCGCCCCCGCCTCTGCCTCCTCCCTCCTCTCCCGGGTTCTGCAGAGAAAGCTCGCAGGTGGCAGCAGGTCCCTGCGGACTGCCCGAGGCGAGAGCGCAACGGTCGGGTGCGACTTACCCATCTGAAAACCGCGCGCCTTCTGCTCAGCCTGGGCCACCGCCGCGGGGCTTCCCTGTACTCTGGCAGTTTCACGCAGATGGACAGGCTTGGAGATTTGAAGACCGTAGAGCATAGAAGCCTGAGGCAGCTGGATTTGACCCTGCGCCTGGCCTCAGATCGAGTTTTGGTGAAAATCCCACTTATACCTCACATAGAAATTCTGTTTTGAGATTTAACTATAACTGGATACACCCACCATAAAGCACTTCAGCTCTCACTCTTCCCACTTTCGTGAACTTGGCAAACACAAATATTATATCTTCTTGATGTGACTACATTATTTTCACATTGTTTCTCCTACCGCCCTGTTACCGTGCCAGGCATTGGGTACATGCAATCTTGCTTATGTGCTACAGCCTGGCACATAAAAGTTACTTTTATTTCCCCCACAAGTAACATACAGAGTTATTTACCTCAGGTTACTCACCTAGAAAATAGTAGAAGTTGCAAGTTGGACTCTGACCTTTGGCAAAAACAAAAGTAGTGTCCAATCTGACATCAAAAGCTGTTTCTGTTGGTTGAAGAGATGCTATTACATTGTACGCTTTGTAAGAACATCGCTGCTACGAGATGAAATTCAGGCACTCAATAAGCACGGTTGGAAGGCTTACCCCAAGGAGGAGAAGTGACCACAGAATGGAGCAGTGAGACACTGGCTTTTTCGAAGATGGCTTTTCTTTTGGAGACCAATCTTCCAGCCCTGTTCTGTCACTCGCCGAGGTACCTGGTCTTGGACATTTCCTCTTATTAGGCATCATCTCCCTGTATTGGCTTTTAAAACCAGGACCGTTAATTTTTGCGGCCAGTGGTGTTATTTTTCTGATTGTGAACTTAGCTCCACATTTTAAAATCTGGAAATTTTATAAAAAATTCAGAATTTTTTCCGAAAAGTAAGATCAGGCAATATTTGGTCTATGGTGTGTTCTGTCAGCTGTCAGCTGGAGGTGAGGTAGCGGGTGTTCCCTGTAGACTCTGAAAATGCTTTTTGGTTTTCCCCGACCCCCATCACTCCGCATACATACCGTATCTCACTGATGTAAGGTTGTGATAGATACTTGAATTTTTGATGCAAGGTTTAATAACCTTATTGTTTACTAAACAATATATAATTTAATGATAATTTAGCAGGCTATGCAGATTTCTAAAAAGGATTATGAAACAAAAAACTTCCACATACGTACTTATGATGGTCATTGATCATGAATCTATGTTATAGTCTTAATTCCCTAGTATCCAAAACTTTTACACACCAAAAAAAGGCTAAGTGTAGCGATACATGCCTATAGTTTCAGCTATTTGGGAGGCTGAAGCAGGAGGATCACTTAAATGCAAAAGACTAGAGCCAACCTGGGCAACATAGGAAGACCCTATCTCCAGAAAGAAAGAAAAAAATCTCACAAAAGCCAAAATGGCCCAAAACGCACTGTCTCCAACCCTAGCAGCTTGGACATCATGGTGTAACCCAAGTTCAGTCAATCAGAGGCTCCTACATGGGTTTGAATCTGAATTCTGTGATTCCATAAGAGACATTTTTTAAATAACTCCATTATCGATAAAGTGACTTTTGTATCCAGGAAGAGTAGGGCCCGAGGTAACAGGGAACAGTGCCTACCTTGGCACTGACAAGTGTCTGAGTGGGTCATTTGGGTGATGTGATCCATTCTGAATCCTGCCCATGTGGTAAGCCTGACTCTCCAGTCTTCCTCTTTCTCTGGGATGTCACCTGATGGCTTGCAAGTGCATTTCTCCCTTTTTTTTTGTTAAGGTAATCAGAAGTTATTTCAGTGTTTTGGGGGGTGGTTCAAACTGTCTTCCTTCATTAATTCAGTTAATGCAGAATGAGCACAAGTGTATTTATGTAATCTTATCTTATAAAATTTTAATGCATCCTGTAGATTTCTTTGCATTTTAACATTCAACCTCAATAATCAAAATACATTTCTGACATTTATTTTTTCTATTAATTTTATACATTTAATGCATACAGAATAATGACATTAATTGTTGGAAATTTGTACCTTTACATAATGTCTTGGTTCTTATTTTTCCCCACTCCCCTGCCCTTCCTTTAACCCCCCCTCCCTCCCTATCTACAAAGACATTATTTCCATTATTTTTCATTTTCTCATAATTTAATTTCCATCTTGCCTTTCCCCTACCCCTCCCATTTGCCCTTCCTCTTTGTCCCTGTTCTTCCTATTTTACATTATCTATTATATCTTTTAGTCCTTATTTACACTTTCAGTTTCTCACACTAGAGAAACTTTGGTATTCACATGTGTGTCTTATTTATATCACTTAAGAGTATCAACTCAATGTGCATCCAATTTAGCTATAAATATCTCTAACTTCCCAATTTTTTATGGCTGAGTAGTATCCCATTTTATAAAAGAAAAATTTTTTCTTTATCCAGTCTCCTGTTGATGGGCAATTGGACTGCTTCCAAGTTTTAGTTATTACAAATTCTGCTGCTATGAACATGGGTGCACATATATCACTATGGTATGATTCTTATAATTCTTTAGGGAAGATACCCAGCAGGGGAATAGTTGGATAAAATGGGACTTCCGATCCTAGTTCTTTGAGGTATCTCAATACTGATTTCCACACTGGTTGCACCAGTCTACACTCCCACCAGCAGTGGAGCAGGGTTCCCCTTTCCCCACAGCATTTGTTATTGGTTGATTTTGTGATAACAGCCATTCTTTCTAGTGTGCGGTGGAATCTCAGGATTGGTTTCATTTGCATTTCCCATATGATTAGTGATGTTGAACATTTTTTATTATGTTTATTTGTTACTTCTACTTCTTTGAGGAATGTCTGTTCATTTCAGATGCCCATTTTTGGACTGGGTCTTTAAATTTGGGAGTTCTGATTTTTTTAAGTTCTTTATATATTCTAGATAGTAGACCTCTGTCTGAGGAACAGCTGGTGAACATTTTTTTTCCACATTGTGGGTTGTCTCTTCACATCAACATGTTGTTTCTCTTGCTGTGCAGAAGCTTTTTAATAAGAAGATATCCCATTTGTTGATTGTTGTTCTAGGTCACTGGCAACTGAGGTTTTGTACAGGAAATCTTTTCCTATGTTAATGTCTTCAAGAGTTCTATCTAACCTCTCTTCTAGCTGGTTTAATGTTTTTTTTAATTTTTTTTTTTTTTTTTTTTTTTTTTTTTTTTTTTGGTACTGGGATTGAACTCAGGTCTTTGCACTTGCAAGGCAGGCCACCAAACCACTGAGCTAAATCCCCAGCCCTTTTTTTTTTAATTCTTTCTTTTTATTGTTTTAATATTTAGATCTTTAATCCATTTTTATTTTAGTTTAGTGCATGGTGAGAGATATAGGTCTAGTTTAAATCTTTGGCAAATTGAAACCCAGTTTTTCCAGCACCATTTATTAAAGAGGTTATCTTTCCTCCAGTGAGGATGGTTGGCTCCTTTGTCAAAAATGAGATAGCTGAGTATGTCAGCAGTTGTTCCTGCATCTTCTAATCTGCTTCACTGATCCTTGGGTTTGTTTCTCTGCTGGTACCATGCTGTTTTTATCACAGTAGCTTTGTGGTATAGTTTCAAATTGGGGATTGTGATACCCCTAACTTCTCTTTATTGCCTAAAATTGCTTTTGTTATTCTAGGTCTCTTCTTGTTCCAAATGAATTTTTGGATTGTTTTCTCAATGTCTATGAAGTAAGCTGCTGGGATTTCAATTGGAAGTGCATTGAATCTATATAGCAGTTTTGGAAGTATAGCCATTTTCAATATGTTGATTCTTCCTACCCAGGAGCAAGGGATGTCTTTGCATTTTCTGATATCCTCATCAATCAATCTCTTTTTTCAAAGTTCTGTATTTTTTCAGAGTAGAGGTCTTTGATTTCTTTTGTTGGGTTGATTCTTAGATACTTCATTTTTTTGATGCTGTTTTGAAATGAATTGATTGCCCCATTTCTATCTCAGTAAGTCTGTTTTTTATGTACAGAAAAGCTTTTGATTTTTGTGTGTAAACCTTGTATCCAGCTACTCTACTGAATTGGTTATTAAGTCTAGAAGACTTTTGTTGGAGTTCTTGGGGTCTTCTATATAGAGTATCATGTCATCTGTAAACAACAACAATTTGACTTCTTCATTTCCTATCTTTATTCCTTTTATTTCTTTCTTTTGTCTAATTGCTGTGGCTAATGTTTCCAGAACTATATTGAACAGAAGTGGACATCCTTGTCTTGTTCCTGATTTTAGTGGGAAGGATTTCAGTATTTTACCACTCAGTATGACATTAGCTGTTGCTTTTTCATTGATGGCTATTATCAGATTGACATAGAGACCATCTATTCCAATTTTCTGTAGGGTTTTTATCATAAATGCATGTTGGATTTTGTTGAATCTTTTTCTGCATCTATTGAGATGATCATATGGTTTTTAACCTTGGCTCTATTAATATAATGTATTACATTTATTGATTTGCATATGCTCTTTTTTGTTTTTGTTTTTTGTACCAGGGATTAAACTCTGGACCTTGACCTTGCAAGGCAAGGGGCGGCCCCACTGAGCTAATTCCTTGGCCCCTGATTTGCATATTTTGAACCATCCCTGCATCCCTAGGATGAATCCCACTTGGTCAGGGTATATGATCTTCTTGATGATCTTCTTCATTCTATTTACCAGTATCTTATTAAGGATTTTTGCATCTGTGTTCATTAGTGAGATTGGCTTACATTCTCTTTTTCGGTTGGGTCTTTCCCTCCTTTGGGGATCAAGGTGATGCTTGCTTCCAGGCATGAATTTGGGAGTATTGCTTCCCTTTCAATGTCACTGAAGAGTTTAAACAGTAGTGGCAATAATTCCCCTCTAAATGTCTTATAGAATTCAGCAGTGAAGCAATCAGGGCCCGGGCTTTTCTTAGTCAGTAAGTTTATAACTACATTTTCAAATTCATTGATTGATATTGGGTCATTTAGAATTTTTAGGTCATCACTCTGGTGTTAATATTCAAGACAAAAATGTTCTCTTCTTGCCTCTGGTTGGCCACATCAGGCAGTTACCACTCTCTCTGAGGACACCCAAAAGCCAAGAGCTTGGAGTAGTCTCTTGCTGTCAAAATCCTGGTTGAATCTTATTTCTTAAAATTGCCAGTACAAAAAAAAAAGAATGCATGACTGTATTTGCGTTGATCAGGAAGCTAAAACTATGTTCATATATTCCTCTGTTGGGCACATGTACATTAAACAGCAGTTGCTGGGGTAACAGCTACTCTCCTGAATATACTTGTTGATACCAGATGACATAGAGTCCTTCTTTTTTCACATTTAAAATACCCTGGCTGTGGATTATTTCTGAAGTCAATGTCTCCAGGGAAGAATAATACAATATCCAAATTATTTTATTGGAAATGATTTATCTCAGATTTTATTGTATATTTGAAGTATGCACCTTAGAAATAATTATATTCTTAAAGCGTCCTGTTCTTAAAGTTCTGGCTTTGTTTTTGTTTATTCCAATAATTCTGAAAGTATGGTTTTTAAAATCCTCTTGTCTGCAAGATCCAAACTATTTTCATTAAAATATAAGCATATTATTTGACTTCTTTACTTTCTTACTCCCTCCAATTTATGGGTTTGCAGTGGAGAATTGCAGAATGTGTGTGATGTCATGAAACCAGACACAGATAGGAGAATCCAGTCATCTTTCACACCAGATGTGAAAGTGACTTGTAAAGAAAAAAACAGGG